CTGATATTTCTTCATTTTATACTGACATATACTCTCTGATAAAAGTTGCGCGTTAATAGTCACACTTTACAGAAGAGGACGTTGTGATTTAATGAAAGTAATTTGTTTTACACAGCTGATACATAAAAGAACCAAATCTGCAAATGTTTAGGTTGAAAGTTTGGAGTTCTTTTCTTGGCCAGGGTGGTTTGGTCTAAGCCTAGTTTAGTTCTGTTTTCCTTAGAATTCAGGGTGTTGAACTATCATGGTCATACTATATGAAGTCAAATCAATCTTCAGTCTATATACTTGATCTTTTTAAATTTCTGTCTGTGTAGGTCTGTATGTGTCAGCATGTGTCTGTGTGTGTCTCTCTGTATGTGCACAGTACAGAGATGTAAGCATCAGACTCCTTGGAGGTAAAGATATCTATGAGCTGTAAGCACTCTTAACTGCTGAACAATCTGTCCAATGCCCACTTGGGAGTTTTAAAACTCAGACAAAACACAAAACTTTTCCCATCTTTAGGTGCTGGGGATCAGACACAGGACTGTGTACATGCTAGGCAAATGTTCTCCCATTGAACTATCCACAAAAACTATTTGAATAAAATCTGAGCTTCACTTGGAATGGTGACTCACTTGGGAAGCCAGCTAAGGCTGGAGAATCAGCCTGAGTTTGGGGCAATCTTAGGCTACATGAAACCTTGCTTCAACAAACCAGTAAGTAAGTAAATAAAGAGAAAAAATGCCTTTAAGTATGTAGAGTGTGAGGCTGGCGAGATGGCTCAGCGGCTAAGAGCGCTGGCTGCTCTTCCAGAGGGTCAATTCCCAGCAACCACATGGTGGCTCACAACCATCTATAGGGGGATCTGATGCCCTCGACAGGCAGGCGGATGTATATGCAGCAGAGCACACATACATTACAGAAATAAAACGTAAAAGTATGTAGAGTGTGACTGGACTAGATGGAGTGTAGGCAGACACAGGTTAGCAGCTGAGTAGATGGTAGGTGGCGACAGACTGAACATCATGTGAGGTCTTGTAGTCACTTCCTCCAAGGTGAGGGAAGCTGTCTATTCAGATCCTTGTTTCACAGGCTTATTTATATCTGTAACTGGCTACCAAGCTGGGGGCTGTAGAGAGCTAACCGCTCAGCTATTTCCGAGGTTGTATACCCTGACATTCACCCCTGTGCTGTACTAGTTGATGGTATAAAACAGCGGCTCTCAACCTTCTTAGTGCTGTGACCCTTTAATACAGTTCCTCGTGTTGTGTGACCCCCAACCATAAGATTATTTCTTTGCTACTTCATAACTATGATTTTGCTACTGTTACAAATTATAATGTAAATATCTGATATGCAAAATATCTGATATTCAACTCCCAAAGGGGTTGCAACCCACAGATTGAGAGCCTCTGGTATAAAGGCAGACTGTGTCCAGGAATCCTGGCTTGACACATGTGACTAGCCATTCCCTTTATAGTAAGAAAATCTTATATCAAGTTCAAGTACTTAGTGTCCACCAGTCTGCACCGACAAACTGACTACACTGTCATTTGTCGTCAGCCTTAACAGTAATGGGATCATTTTTCTAATCAATCTAATTTCAACTGTTACATCTGTCATAAAGAGCATGCAAGGTATGGGATAACATGTTCTCTTATATGAATATCTCTTGAGAAAAGAAAAATCTATCAAAAGCCTGAAGGGCTAGCTCATGCTGATAATTAACTCTTCGGAGGGAGGCTAAGACAGGATCACTGTGAGTTAGAAGCCAGCTTGGGCTACACAGCAAGTTCCAGGCCATCCTAGGTTACAGTGTTAGACCCTGCCTCAAAACACAAATGACAAAAACTATTAGACTTTACTACAAAGGATGCTGTTACATCTCCTGAGTAAGCATTTTATTTTTATCTTATGGACTTTGTGAATATTTAACTTAACTCTCTGATTAGCTGCCAAAAAGCTTTGAGCCAAATTTGTGGCTCACCCATAACCCATGTGCTCTATGCCTCGTTGACTTCACTCCTGACTCCAGTTTGTCTGAACTCTAGTTATTCTTTCCTCTTCCTGCCCCACCCCACCCCCACCCCCACCCCCAGTTCTCTTGCTTTTGCACTGGGCAGAACCCAGGGCCTTGTGCATGACAGGCAGATGGACTGCCACTGAGCTGCTCTCCTAGCACTGTGATTCTTTGTTAATAAAAACTTAATTTGTACTTGGAAGGCCAGTGAAGGAGGATTGCCCTAAATTTCAGGCCAGCCCATCTACATAGCAAGTTTAAGACCAGCCAAGGTTTCTTACCAGGAGAGACTTTCTCTCAAAATATTTTTTAAAAGATTTATTTATTTTATGTATATGAATACACTGTGACTGTCTTCAGAGACACTGGAAGAAGACATCAGATCCCATTACAGATGGTTGTGAGCCACATGTGGTTGCTGGGAATTGAACTCAGGACCTACCTCTGGAAGAGCAGTCAGTGCTCTTAACGGCTGAGCCATCTCTTCAGCCCTCAAAATACTTTTTAATCTCTTAATTTATGGCATTCTATATATTCAAAAGTACATGTAGTTTCTCATAAGCAGCCTTATATTGTTTTTGAATTTTTTCAGATTATCACATGCTGTGTGTGTATAAGACTGCCATTATCGCCTCATTTTACTTTATTAGATACTGATATCATTAATCTCCTCATTTTACCTTAATATTTTTTCTTGAAAGGTATTTTTTTGTATACGTCTTTTTGTGGTTTTGGTTTGGTTTATCAAGACAAGGTTTCTCTGTGCAGCCTTGGCTTTCCTGAAACTGGTTCTATAGACCAGGCTGGTGTCAAACTCACAGAGATGCACCTGCCTTGCCAACCAAGTGCTGTGAACTAGAGGTGTGCACCCCCACTGTCCAGCTTTGCTTACGGTTTTGTATGGTTTTGATTACATAGAATTGGTTATTTCAAACTTGTATGGCTTTTTGAAGTATAAAAAAATGGTAAATATAATTGATGTATGGTTAGGATTGGTTAGATTGGTATCATAATTCTGTGTTGTTATATTATGCTTTGTTTTTTTTTTCTTTCAATCTGCCTGTGACCCTTTTTCTGTTCTGTGGTTTTAGAAGTAGTGCTGAGTGGCCAGGTCAGTGGACAGCAGTTAACCGCTACCTCAGTTGAGTCTGTAGGGTCAAGTAAACCATCTTCTACACCTACAGATTTGCCTTTGTTAGCACAGCCTAGTCTGTTCACATGCATATTAATCCCAGAGATACCTTGCCTGTGTTTCCTCTAGGTTAACCAACCTGTATTTAAATAAGTGAATATGAACATTTTGTTTCCAGCCCCATTTGCATTAATTGGTTTGTAGTGCTGGTTGGATTTTCTGATTGTATCTATGGTATCATCTAGTTGATAGCATGAATATTATATATACAACTTTTTAACTCTTTAAGTTCCGGGCTTATTTGATGCATGCCTTTAATCCCAGCATTCAGGAGGCAGAGGCAGAAGGATTTCTTTGAGTTCAAAGCAGGTCTACATAGTGAGTTCCAGACCAGCCAAGTCTACATAGGAAGAGCCTGTCTCAAATAAGTAAACTCTTTAATTATCTTCAAGGGAACTTATTTGGCCTTCTTTGCAGCTCTGAGTTATGTAATGTTCTTTTTTAAGATGCTCTTTTTACTGGTGACCAAAACCAAGACAGTGGGTCAACAATCTAGGTTATCAAGAGAAAACACTTGCTATGCAAGCCTGTGAGTTCAATATCCTGAACCCACAAGATGGAAGGAGAAAATTAACTCCTGCAGGTTGTCCCCTGAGCGCCACATGAGCATCATGACATGCACATCCAAATATACACAGATACACACAAACAGTAAATACATGTAAAATTTTAAAAATAACAAAGACAAAACTATTTAATTCATTCCTCAAAATGATACTAGCAAATCAGTTTTAAAACTAAGCCACAAGCCAGGAACCCTGATTCTTACGTCCATATCTATCACAATGTCAAAAGAACTTCTGACAGACATTATGAACATTAATTACATAATTAATTACATAGTCTTTATCCCACCCATTGAAGTCGAAAGATGGAAAATAAACAAAAACATCACTTATGCATAGAGCTGGACAGAATTAGAAATAGGTTTCATTTGTGTTACTTTTATCGGCATGGTTTTCTGTTCTTGAAGAAAGAACACTCCCCACACTGTCACTGTCTATTATGGAAGGAAGAAGTACTTTATCTTAGCTGTTTAAAATTAGTGCTGTAATAGAAACTATTTCATTCACCTTTAGTATAAAAATAATTTGTTGGGGTATCGTGCATTTTCATATTGAGACAAGCTCTCGTGGTCATTGTTCTCATTTTGAGACAGTCTCATGTGGCTCAAGCAGACCTCAGCTCACTATGTAGCTACTATTGACCATGACCTCCTGGTCCTCCTGCCCCTCCCTCCCAAATATAGGGATGACAGGCATGTACCACCACGCCTGACTGTGCATATTCATTAGAGTTAGAATGTGTTTACTGCTATGGATTTTGGCAAAACATCAGTTATAATTCTAACCAGTCTCTAAATTTAAATATAAAATTAAAATTCTATATTGTCTCTGAAATTTTTCATTTTCATTCTAATTATTCATGTCTAGTATATAAGCTAAACTTTCTTTAGTGTTTTTTGTTTGTTCGTTTGTTTGTTTGTTTTCTTTTCTTATTTTATTTTGGTTTTTCAAAACAGGGTTTCTCTATGTAGCCCTGACTGTCCTGGAACTCACTCTGTAAACCAGGCTGGCCTCGAACTCAGGGACCTACCTGCTTTTGTCTTCAAGTGCTAGGATTAAAGGCGTGCGCCACCACTGCCCGGCTTTAGTGTTTTATGGTGTTAGCACTGGTGGAAATTATTGATTGAAAACTGTAGAACTATATGTCATATTTTTACCCCAATCCTGTAAGAGTAGCTACTATTTATAACCCAATATCACATTCAGCAGTAAATATTGTCTTCTGACTCTCCTTCAGCTTCTGGAATTTCTGAGAAGCCCTGCTCAATACAAGATGGACCCTGTGGTCTTGAGTTATATGGACAGTCTATTGCGACAATCAGATGTCTCACTATTGGACCCTCCAAACTGGCTCAACGACCACATTATTGGGTTTGCCTTTGAATACTTTGCCAATAGTCAGTTTCATGATTGCTCAGACCATGTCTGCTTCATCAGCCCTGAAGTCACCCAGTTCATTAAGTGCACCAGCAGCCCTGCAGAGATTGCCATGTTCCTTGAACCCCTGGATCTTCCCCACAAAAGAGTGGTGTTTTTAGCCATCAATAATAATTCTAACCAGGCAGCTGGAGGTACCCACTGGAGTTTGTTGGTTTATCTCCAAGATAAAAATAGCTTCTTTCATTATGATTCCCATAGCAGGAGCAACTCAATCCATGCAAAGCAGGTAGCTGAGAAACTGAAGGCTTTCTTAGGGAGCAAAGGAGACAAACTGGTCTTTGTGGAAGAGAAAGCCCCAGCTCAACAGAACAGCTATGACTGTGGGATGTACGTGATATGTAACACCGAGGCCCTGTGTCAAAACCTCTTTAGACGACAGCCAGAATCCCCACTGCAGCTCCTCACCCCGACATACGTCACAAAGAAGAGGGGAGAATGGAAGGATCTAATTGCCAGACTTGCTAAGAAAACGAAGTAGCTACTGAAGAATGCTTGTGATGTTTGAAGTCTGATCTTTCAGCCCTTCTCTATGATGACAGCCTCAGTGCCTGAGGGAAAAACACTGGTAGATGAAAGTTTACTATTCCTGCTTCTTTATTGTTCTGAAAGAATGTCATCCTCTATGTTCTCTGAATGGGAAGTTTCGCTGTAACCCTGAGGAGAGCAGTACATTCTGTGAAAATGTCTTGAACTTATGTACCAAAACCTTGAAAAAAAAAAAAACCACCCATTACACAGTTTCAAATAAGAGTCTTCTTGTTGGTATAAAACTATTATCCTCTTTGGTCTTCCTTCCTCATTGGCTTATTTCAGAGAAGAAGTGATGTTCCAAAGCAAACCAGCAACATATGAGATCTAAAGGCAGGCATGAAGAAAACAGCAGAAGAACCAACATCTTTGAGTCACAGCCATAGTGAGAGAGGTCTCCGTCCGACTGGAAGTGGATCATTACCTAACTTCACTTACGGCCTTCAATTTATAAAAATAAGGCATTCTCTGGTGCAAAGGCTTTCCCGTCTGCAAATGCTCAATAAGATGACTTTAGCTCATCTTTATCTACTTCCTGGAATGCTTTAAGAACATGGACCTTCATTAAAATAAATGGCTGTGGGCTGGGAATGTAACTTTAAGGAAGAGCACCTGCTGTGGTGTGCAGGAAGTCTTGAACTCAATTCCAAATTGCAGTAAATTAAAAACAAAACCACCTGCTGGCCTGCGGTGCCTCTCTCCTTTCCCTCAGGGAGTGGGTGACTCAGCCCTAAGTGATGATGACTTTTCTTTGCCTTCTTTTTAACATGTACACAGTCTCTCCCTTTACCTAACATGCTTTGGTTCTAAAACTCACAATTGACAACTAACCAAGATTAGCTGTTATTTCAGATGTGTTTCTACTTTTGGTAGCTGTAGTTTTTTTACACTAATCTAGCAGAATTATTTTCAGTTATGTCATGGTAATCTCCATACTATTAATGATCTAAAACATGAAGGCAGTTTATTTTTTAAATATAAAGGAAGAAAAAAGTCACCTTTCTCAAACTTAATCCAAAATGCAGATGATATAATTTTAAAATACGGAACCAAGACTAAAAAGAAATACTATCCCCCACAAACCTATTGATAAATTTTTCTAGTTGTTTCAAATAATTTACACAAAAAGTTGGACACACACATTAATTGTACCCCAATAACAATTTGCAATTCACATGGGATATAAAACCCAAAGATGTGATTCACCCACTAAAACTGACTTCAGCTACTTCTCCACTCTTACCCTGACCCCAGCCTTCATGACCCAAAATAACCTCTCCAGTCAGCAACTACAGAAGTAGTTACTGGGTTCCCTGGAGCCAGGAAGGGGAAGATGGTAAAAGTGTAAAAGCACAGGCTGCATAAGCAGGCTTCAGTGTATGGGATCTGAAACAAGTTAGAGGAAAAAAAAGGGGAGGGGGTGTCCATTTCAAGTTAGTCTGTTTCAAACCAAAAGCCTTAATGAAAGATAGACAGGAAAATGTTAGAAACTGGCAATGAGCCATAGGTGAAGCAGACAAAGCAGGGACAGCAAGCATAGGGACACAGGTTCTGATAGGCAACCAGTGGAGACAAAGGCAGAAAGCAGGGTCATCTCAGTGACTGTTGACTTAGGCAGCTGATCTAGACCTTCAGAGTCTGCCCTCTCAGGGAAAGGTTATCTTTCTGATAGAGTATCCTTATTTGCTTAAACATTAGCCTGTCTCCCCTTTAAAAGCTAATGCATGTGAGAGCAGTCTTCTCTAATTCCCTAAGGTTTGTCCTAGAATTATTTTCTAACTAAACTGTTGTCTTTATTTTAAAATATAAAGGGCTGGAGACTGATGGCTCTTCTAGAGGTCCCGAGTTCAATTCCCAGCAACCACATGGTAGCTCACAACCATCTGTAATGGGATCTGATGCCCTCTTCTGGTCTGTCTGAAGGTAGTGACAATACATTAAATAAATATATATTACATTAAATAAATATATACATACATTAAATACACACACACACACACACACACACACACACACAAATCTTTTCCCAAATACATAACATGTTTGAAATCAAACCTCAAGTTAGTCTTTTTTAAAACTGTTGAATAGGCTTTGTGAGACAGCCCAGAGGGTTAAGACACTTGTTGCCAAACCTGATTTGATCCCCAGGTCCTACTTAGGAGAATTCTCCTTGTAAGTTGTTCTCTGTCTCCCAGTGTACACCTTGGCACACTTGCAACTGCTCACAATATATATAAATAAGCATAAGAAAATCTTGAGTAAATCATTTGAAAATGCTGACATTGTAAATAACAGATTTTGAGCTGACACATAGTATTTCACTAGATAATAGGATAGTCCAAAAGCTATACACCTGCTTGACCATGCACCATTAATGTAATACTAATAATTCTATACTAATAATATAAATACATTAATACTATTAATATATTTTGATTTCAAGTATTCTATTGTACTGCCCCATAAATATATTTGAATATGTCTAACCTGGGTCTCAATATGAAATTGAGAAGTTACCATATATAAACCCAACATTCGCTGGTAATAATATATATGTATTCTCTACCTCAGGGCGACACGGTCAGCCCTATTTTTTATTTTTTAACTTTGTGGTTTTGTTTTTTTTTTTTTTAATTTTGCTTTTGGTTTGTGTTTTGTTGTTGTTGTTTGTTTTTTTGAGAAAGGGTTTCTCTGTGTAGCCCTGGAACTCACTTTGTAGACCATTCTGTCTTGTGCAGTTAAATGCTTTACATAGCCATAAAAATATATGTGCACATATTGCTATATTTTAAAGTACCAGATAACACTCTAAAGGTTTTATACATATATAGTCATTTTTTATTGTTGGGTTGTTTTTTTTTCAGGGGTTGAAAAATTGGGACAGTCTCTCATAGCCCAGGCTGGTCTACAACTTGATATGATACCTTCAACTACTTCTGATCCTCAGGCCTCCAGCTCTGGAGGAATGAGATTCAGGTATATGCCACCACTCCTGGCTAATCTCCTGTTTTATAATAAATGCAGCGTCAATCGTGCAGCCTCTGTCTCCTCATATCCTTCGCATCTCTGCCTACCCTGACCCAGAAACCAATACCAGTAGTCCTTGCTTGAACATTTTCTAATGCAGTCTCGCTTTCCTTTCCGAATTGAACATGATCCGCCGGCTCACTGCAGAAGCAGCAGTAACCGCCGTAACCGTTGGGCAGGAGAACCTGAAGAGTTACTGGCTTTGTTTTATACCTTAGGTCATCTTTGGACCAACTCCTGATGTCGATGTACTGATCTAATGTTCTGGAAAAAGCCCCACAGTGCACTTCCTATTTTAAATGGCCTTTCATACTCTTACATATGAAAGATGGAGAATAAGACAAGAGAAGACGTCTGGATAACCTGTTAAAAATGGGAAGGGGGACTTCAGAAATGTGTCAAAAAATCAGTATGAAGCAAAGATAAAATGATTCTCCACAACATAAGGAAAACTAGTCCCCAGGTTCCAACATGAGGCTGAGTTTCCACTGAGGAAAATGAAGTGTTAATGGTACTTAAATAGATGTTCTTGTGGCTAGAGAGATGGCTCAGGGGTTGAGAGCACTTACTCTTCTTACAGAGGACCCAGGTTTGATTCCCAGCATACACATACGTGGTGGCTCACAACCATTGGTAACTCCAGTTCCAAGAACTGGATACTCTGAATTCTGCTGGCATCAGGCACCCATGAGGTACACATAAATATATAAAGGCAAAATATATTTTTATAAGTAAAATAAAAATGTACTTGAGTAAGAGGTGACTAACATGTCTGTGTGTCAAAGGACATGGCAGCTGTCTTCAGTGCCCAAAATAGGGGTACGTTTTTATGCTGGGAAACAAAATTCCTTTGAAGTCTTGCAGTTTATGTTAGAAGACAAGAGAAGGCAGCTCTCTAGATTTTCTTTGCATACTAGTACCTAGTAGTCCCTGTGTAGGGTGGGCCCTTTCCCCACAGGCAAGCTCAGACAAGATTTCTGAAGCAGTTCTGACCCACACTGCATTTCCCACTCTGCTCAGCACAGCACTATGCTCACCCCCTCACCTCTGCCTTCTACCTGTGCCCCACCGTCTCAGAGCCTCCACTCCTGATGACTGCCCTCTCCATCCATGGACAGGGACCTTGTGCAAACAATTCCTTCATACACACATCATTGGTCTTCACTGGTTTCTAGCCAACAGCCTTAAATGTGTGGACTCTTATCTTTCAAAATGCATTAAGGCATGTCTCCCTCTAAATACTAGCTTGTCACTTCCTCCTCCTCGGGCCTCACCCAGGGTGTCTGTACTGGGCTTTGTAACTGCTTTCCTGCCTCCTGATTCTCAGCGCACTTAAATTTGGATTCTGTCCCGGTTCCTCCACAGATGACCCTCACTCGTTCTGATTTTTATTAGCAGAGTACATAGCATCAAATCCTCCTCCTCAAACCATTCTTCCTTTAACTGATGCCAGACCCAGTTTTCTCTCTCTTGTCTCTGTCTTACTTGCCAGGTTTTTTTTTCACCCCACACCCTGTATTCTTAGGTTTAGTACCACAGCCCTGTTCTCACTGGCCACTACCAAGACTGATGACAGATTTGGGCACATCAGACCTATATTCCTCTTCCAAGCTTCAACCTGTATATCCATGTGCCTGCTGCACATCTTCACATGGGGATTCCCTAGCATCCTCCCAGGTACCAAATCCCAAAGCTCAACTCCTCTTTCCCCGTCCGACCTGTTCCTCCCCGTTCTCCCCAGAGTCATCCCTGGAGTCATCCTTGATTTTTTTTTCTCTCACACCTTCCACATCCATCTGCTTTCTAGTCCTGTTGATTCTGCATGCAAATATCCTCTAGTTCATGTTCTTCTGTCTGTTTCTCTTTGTGTCTGCCCTCCACACCCCATTCCAAACAACCACTCTCACACCAGGTATGGCAATGAACACCTGTCATCCCAGCCCTTGGAAAGCAGAGGTAGGAGGAATATTGCAGGTTTGAGCCTGACCTACACAGTAAATCCCAGGCCTGTAGTTGAGAATGACTATAGAATGATACCCTGTCTCGAAAAGACAGAAACAAAACTAAGAAGACAGCCACTCTCTGTGTCAGCTAGCGAATATCTTCTAAAGTATCTTCCAGGGCTCTCCTGCTCCCAGCCTCTAGTCCTGTCTTCTGCCGGTGTCTCCAATAGAGA